TGGAATCTTGTAGAACATTGACTCTTTAGGTTGTCTCTATGTGCTGGTTACGTGTTGATTTGTTTTCTCTTGATTTTATGATTTAATATTTTGAAAGGCTGAAGCTGGTGTATTTTATTTTATTATTCATTCAGGTATGTTGGGTCGCTCTGCTATTTTCTTTGTGACAGTGGAATCACTGTGTGGAATGTGGATATGTGTTTCTGTTTGTCATAAAGAGGGTTCAGTGTTCAAAGCAGGAGTTTTTATGGTAATTGGCTGAATATGGTTTCTTCTGTTGAAAGAGTGAAGTTATTGGCGGAGAAAGGTGAGAGCAAAAGAAGGAAAGCTTAGTGTTTTTAGGGTCGGTTTCTAGGGCTTTGTGCAGGCTCTTATTGATGACATAGTTATTTACAAGACCGCGGCTCAATCTCAGGAAAAATAACTGTTGTTGGGGGTTTGCAACTTTCCCCCAGGTTCAGGCACACTTAGAGACCCCACTTCCAAGCACACTTAAAGACCCCATTTGCAGCACCAATGATCTGATCCAAGGCAAAAGAGCCGGTCCAAGGCAAATTCCCGGGACTGCACTCAGCTGTGGCTTTTTCTCTCTCCCCACCCCTTCCATCCGCAGCGCTGGTGCAATCCTGCCAGACCGCTTATGGCTCTGGAGTTTGTCTGTGATACCGCCCAACTGTGGTGCCAAAGGTGCCCGTGATTTTAGCTGTTCTGGAGTCGGGGGAGTACATGCTAGTAAACTATGTTCCCACTATCCTTGACCAAATAATCACGATGTCTTCCAGGCTGACCCAAACCCAATTGGTGACCCACTGAGAGGGGAGGGAGTTCTCCCTCCTGGCACAACAGTGAGTTCTCCGCTTGAGTTTCAGTGGTAGTGTGCACCTCGCCTGCACCCGGGAGACCCAAATTACCAACAAAATCAGTTGCTGGAGGCAGGTCCCTGGGGCTGGGCTCTGGGTTGTTGCAGTGGTCACTGGTATGTTGATATAGGGTGTCTTCTTTCTTGGGTCATGGGGATCTCAGGTGGACGCCCTTGCCCTCCAGTCAGTGACTGCTCCAGGGATGTTTCCAATGGCCTCACAGCTGCCTATCCATCCTCTGCCACGTAGCTGTTTCTTAAATAATCTCCCTGTGTCTTTCCTCTAATTCTGTTCTTCTGTGTTTGGTGCACTCTGATTCAGTGAGCTGTTCGGAGGACCAAAATCACTAATTCAAACTGCTTTACCTAGTTTTTCAAGCACTTAGATGGTAGTGGGATATAGCGTCCTACTTACTGACGAGACTCCATTTTGAATCTACTTTTAACACTTTAAAAGAGATACTTCACAGCAGATTTGCCCAATGCAATGCATTGTTTAATTTTTTGACTGCTGCTTTTGTGTGCATCAGTTGTGGATCCAAGTAAAATGAAATCTTTCACAACTTCAGTCTTTTCTCTGTTTATCGTGATGTTGCTTATCGGTCCAGTTGTGAAGATTTTTTTTTTTTTTTTTACGTTGACATGTAGTCCATACTGAAAGCTATAGCCTTTGATCTTCATCAGTAAGTGCTTCAAGTCTTCTTCGCCTTTAGCAAGCCAGGTTTTGTCATCTGGATATTGTAGGTTGTTATTGAGTATTCCTTCAATGAGATAGTTCGACACAGTGGCTGCGATGATGGGCTCAAGTATAGCAGGGATCATAGAGCTGGCGTGGGATCGGGCAGTGTTTCATTCTGCTGTGCATGGGGTCGCTATGTGTCAGAAATGACTCAACGGCACCTAACAACAACAACAGCATTGAGTATTCCTGCAATCTTGATGCCATGTTGTTCTTAATATAGTCTAGTTTCTTGGATTGTTTGCTCAACATACAGATTGGATAAATATAGTGAAAGGATACAACCCTGACACACAGTTTTTCTGATTTTAAACCATACATTATCTTTGTTCTGTTTTAATTACTGCCTCTTGGTCTATGTACAGGTTGTACATGAGCAAAATTATGAGCTTTAAACCTGTGCTTTTTAATGTAAGATCAACATGTGGTTATTTGAATTAAACAAAATTCAAAATTCAGTTTCTCAGTTGCAGTGACCACATTTTAAGTGCCCAGTAGCCACATGTGGCTAATGACTACTGTTTTGGATAGCACAGATACAGTAGATTTCTGTCATTGCAGAAAATTTTGGGGGGCATTTCTGCCTTAGAGTTTCTCAAGATGTCTGTGTTGGCATCGTGTATAGAAGTTATTTTTGGGGTGAGAGTTTGCTTTGCATTGAGAGTCTGATTAGCATTCCTGCTCAATGTCCATTAATTGCTGACAGTGCTCTACCTTGAATCAATATGACAAATAAAACCTACTTCCACATTTAGCATGTGCCCCAGAAGGGAACAAAGTTATCCTCATCTGAGACCCATTTTCTTAGAAGAAAGCATCTTCTGACGTTTTAGAGATGGCTTCTGGTTGGCTCTGCCTGGAAAGAGGGAGACTTGGAAAGATAGCCCTGACTCAGGATTTAACCTCTGTACTCCACTCCCATTTTCTTCCCTTCTCCTGATAACCTGTTTTCTGCTTCTTGGGAATTTCAGGAATAAGACCCTGCAGATGGAAAAGATCAAGGCCCGTTTGAAGGCTGAGTTTGAGGCCCTTGAGTCAGAGGAGAGACACCTGAAAGAATACAAGCAGGAGATGGACCTTCTACTACAGGAAAAGATGGCCCATGTGGAGGAACTCCGACTGATTCATGCTGACATCAACGTGGTATGTGGCTGGTTGCTTAGAGGCTACTTCTGGGCTCCTTGAGGCAGTGACAACAGTGAGTACGATAGCCTCTCCTTGAAAAACTGCTGTCACCAACCAGGGGGAGCAGGATGTGGTGGAAGGAGCCAGGAGTTCTGAGATCTAGCCCTGGGTTTATCACTAGCTAAGTATATGTCAGTGGACAGTCTTTTCTCTCTGGGCCTCAGTTTCCCTCTTTGAATATATATATATATATGCCTGCCTATCATAATGGCACATAACAACACAACAACATCATAATGGTGCTCCCCTGTTTGACTTCCTTCTTTGGAAATTCTTGTAACATGGAAAACAAACTCTTTGCTAAGGTTTGCTAAGCCCTTCACTTTTGGAAGTAATCAAGCAGAATCTAAATAATAGCTTGTCTAGGCTGTTGTATTGGTGATTCTTTCTTCTGGAGAGAGGTTGGAGATACTGACTTGCAAGATCCCTTCCAAGCTTTAGAGCCTATGAAAATAAGTATTTTTTAAATTACATTTGAAGGAATTTCTTTTCTTGGGAAACTCATTTCTGTGGCAGCACTTATTTCCTGATGTCACCAGGCTTAGGAACTTTTATATATAGGTAATTATATATATATAGGAGCTGTGTTAGCATAGTGGCTAAGGCACTTGACTGCTAACCAGAAGGCTGGGAGTTCAAACCCACTAGCCACTCCT